TATCCCGATCCGCCGTCTTCGACGTCCGAACGCGTATCTACCGCAACGGCGTTCGGAGTTCTGTTGAGCGTGCTATTAGTCTGTTCTACGTTAAAAATTTACGATTAGAATAAGTTTTATTTTATCTAGTATTTCATTAAACGAAAAGAAGAATATCGTATATTTGTTTGCTGAGCGTGTGTATTTTATTTACGTTGTCGTAACTAGTCGACGGCCATTGTCGGGCGATCCAAACGATGAAGACCGTCCTAGTATTGGCGGTTCTGACAACGATCCTTTGTTTCGGCGAAGGCTCTGTCCTCCAGATAGACAGGAACTTCCTGGTCGCCAGAACCTTCTCGACGTTCGAGCTGAGATGCTACCACGGCAAGAAAAAGGCCTTGGACGTCCGTTGGCAGTTGCCGAATAAGAGAGTGGATTTCGCGACTGTTCACGTCACCGAAGACCTGACGACCAGCATGCTGAAGGTGGTCGGAGTCGACCTTGACGCTTCCGGAATATACTCGTGCTATTCCAACGATTACTTTTCCGCTTCCAGAACATGGAAGACGAGTCACCGGAACGTTCGTGTTGTGGATGCGGATTCGTTCGTGATCGATCCGACGACGACCGCTTTATCCGAGGGATCCCGAAACTTCCGAGCATCGTGGGTGATCAACGAAGCGTGGTAAGGCAAGACGCCCGGTTTCTGGTATAGGGTGTTCTTCGGCGTAAAGGGCCCTCTCCCGAAGGAGATTCCCGCAACGATGGTACTTTGTGCGTCGAATAATATGGCGGTCGTTGCGTTGTACAGCGATCATGGAATAGAAGCGGACCGAGAAAAATGCAATTTTTCGGAAAAGTCGATCTGTTGCATTCTGCCGGACGATCCGTATCGTAGGTGGAGCAATGCGAAAGGTGTCATCATCGCAACGGACGCGCGCTCCGTCGCGGAGGGCGGTTCGTTAAATTTGGTGTGCTACTTTTTCCAACCCGTAATCATTACTTGGATTATGCCCAACTCGGCTCGAGAGGAAAAAACGTTGGCCGAAGAGTGCGGGTTGATTCATTCTCTTCGTTTGCGAAACGTAACCGCGCGCGACGAAGGTCTCTACGCTTGTTCCGGTTCTAACGGCGTGGTGAGCAACTCGGTGAAAGTTCTCGTCGGCAAAGAAGCGAGACTGTCGACGTCCGTGGACCTGTTCTGTGAAAGGACGACCGCGGTAGATTCTAAGGCGCAGCAGATGGAGAAAGTTTCCTTTTTTCCCGAGGTGCAGATACCGAAAGTCAGGGGAATGATAATCCTGAGATGTACGACGATGCGGTCGACCTTCTCGGTGTCTTGGACGAAAAACGGCAAGGACGTGGGCGACGACAGGAGTCATCGTCAAGTATGCAATGACGGTCACGAACACATGCTGATCATCGTCAACGTCAAGTTGCGGGATGCAGGATTGTACGGTTGCTCGTACGGGCAGAACACGGCGAACGTTTGGGTGGAAATCGCGAAAGCCGACGCACCTCCCCTTCTTGTCGAATATCACGCGAACGTGTGTAAGGACAGCGTGTTCAGCATACCCGACCCCGCCGTCCAGGTGAGAAGAAACGGCTCTCTCGCCTGCTACTACTTCGACAGAAAGACCGATAACTTCGGTCGCCCCGACACCTGTTACGAGGGAGCGCTAACCTTCCTGTCAGAAGGAGCGACCGAAAATTGCTACGACTTACCTTCTCCGAAAAACTCGGATCTTCCGAGGAGCCATCCGTGCAACGCGTTGAAAACAGAACTAGACGTCGTGATCGAGAAAAACTTACTGCACGTGTGAGACACGGCAACGTTAAACTTTTACGGATATAAATTCAGGAATCGGAGATTCAACGTCCGCGCGGAGGGCGTCTTGTCGAGCCACGATCACGAGGAGCACAGAGAAGACAGCATTCCTGTACCCGAGGGTTCGGTGTTGACTACGATTTGCGCTCGCGGGAGGATGACGGTCGTCGAAATCGACACTGAATTCTTGAGGCAAGACCGACACCACATAATTAAGCTGACGGTCGATTTTTTCGCTTTCAACTATACGAAAAGAGGGGAGGTCTTCGTAACCGGCCAATCAACGGGAGATCCGGAAGACGACAAGGGCCCCGGGTTGAAGACAAGGAACCTATGCGAATTCAGAAGGAAAGCTGCCGGAAAATGTTTAGGTGACGGTCGGACTATAAACTATCCGTATCCGCCCTTCGTTGTGCATGCCGCCGCGAAAAACCTAAGCCTTATTACTTTTCAAGAGCGGTGGAACAACCCCAAGTC